CTCAGACGTGATGACCACTTTCGTGATGATGTTGACTAGCATCACGGCGGCGCGCGCCCAGCCGAGGCGAGCAAGAAGCCCAGCCCTCAACTTTGACTAAACGCAAAGGCCTTGAACCGTGCAAACAGAACGTTCAACGCAAGTCCCTACATCCAGAGCCCATGCGTGACAGCGCTCCAAAAAGCTGCAGAGGCACCAATTGTCGCCAATTGTCGTGCGACTTTCAGTGGAAACGTGTGTTCATACGTATTGCGTCTGACAGGTAGCAGGCAAGTCCTTTCTCTCGCAAAACTCACGGCTCTTGAAATGGTGCATGAAAACTTTGTGTCGCCCACACTCAGACTCATCATATCATGAACACTTGGGAGCCCGCTGCGCTCACACTGACATGCTCTCGTACAAATCAACGTGCAATAAACAGGTGCATATATATATGAAAGCATCCCAAATGTCTCCAACTCAGGTTTCGCTCCCGAAGATGGGCAACTTGCCCGCAATTGCCTAATCAGCTGACTTTACACGGCGGCGCTTTGTTGGCGCCTCCAAGGGAACCAGCTCGCACAAGTCAGGGACCTTGACCTCTTTCTTCCGGAAAACCACCAGCTGATCCCCAGGTTTGATGGCCCGTTTGTTTTTCATAAGGGGCATCTTGATGGCAACCTCTCGCAAAGGCTTCTCGTAGGCTTGGTAGGTGGTCAGGTCACGATCAATTGCCATGTTTGCATCCTCTTCCCTGTCAGTGGACTGAACCATCCAGTAGGCGGCTACCATTCCCTGCAAGTTGCTGTCCCCCTCAGGCTTTGGTGGGACGAAGCAAGGCATCAACCAAAACGACACCACGCCCTCCGGACCCTTCAGGAGTTGCCCCAGCGGCACAGCGTTTGAAGCAGGGGACTGTGTGGCAATGCGAATGGTGGTGGGCGTCAACACAAGCTTGTTCACAGGAAAGCACTTGGTAGAAGTCACGTTCTTGAAGGGCTTCAACTGGATGCGCAGGTTGCGCAGGGTCTCCACATGTTTGGATTCCTCGGCCAAGAGGGCTTCCAGAATCTTGCCCTTCAAATACTGAATGCCAAAGTCAATGTGGCTTGAGATCCGGTGCTGCCAGTGTTCCTGGCAAACACGTGGAGAAACACCAAAGAAACACACAAAGAAAGAAACAGGGGGTCATGTTGTTGTGGGATTTGAACATACTTTCTATTAAAAGAACCGCTCCTTTGACCCAACCTAGGTCCTGCAACTCCTCAACTTGTTTCTTGGGGACGGAATGCGTCCACTCCCGCTTGCTGAATGCTGCTGCCAACACTTTGCATGTCCCGGAAATCATCCCACTCTCGATGCTCAAGACGACGTGGTTTTGAGTAAAACCTGTGATAGTGCCAGTGATTTGGTCAGCTTTCCGCATGACGTGCTGGCCGATATCAAACCCCTGCTCTTTCAGAAGGGACTGGCATTCTGCGAGCTCGCCGCTCGTATTGTAGGTCAGCATCCTTAGCGCGCGAGCTGCAAAAGCCCAGCGTGATGTATTGAATTGATTGATATTCCAAACGATTACAAGGGGGTCACAAAACAGCTCCACCACCAACAGCAACAGCAGCATCAGCAACAGTGGCGCTTTATAATGATCATATACTTCCAAGGCTGGGCTAAGAGCTCGCCAGGCTGTCAGGGCTGGGCTGAGAGCTCGCTAGGCTGTCAGGGCTGGGCTGAAAGCTCGCCAGGCTGGGCCAAGGGCTCGCCTTTTACCATTTGATCTTCTTTTGTTATGGATCTCAGGTGGGTAGCGAAAGCTAATTGGCCCATAAAAAATGCTGCATGGGCACAATGCTCGCCAAATTGCCATATTTCAGTGACCCCCTACAGTTCATGGCTGGGCTGAGTGCTCGCCTGAAAAGGTTTTACGCAGCTGGGGGTCTACACCCTGGTATCCGAACAACATACGACAACAACAACAACGACAACAACATACAGCATCCGAATCATGATCGCTGCCATGATCATCATCATCATCATCACCACCACCATCATCATCACCATCATCACCATCATCATCATCACCGTAATCAGCATCATCATCATCATCAAGATCATCATCATCATCATCATCATCATCCTCATCATCATCCTCGTCAGCAGCAGCAGAAGTAGCAGCGCCGTCACCAGCGTCGTCATCTTCACCAACCGCCAAAAAACAACAACCATAAAACAACAGCAGCGACAGCATCATAAAGAGCAGCAAGGAGCGCAGCCTATATAAATCTCGACGTCTGACAAAGTAATTGTTTCGTACAGCAAAGCTTCGCAATGGCGTCTCCTGCGACAGGCACAGATGGGCCAGCTGCCGCTGGCTTTGCAAGAGTGAACCCGTTCCACTTCTCGGTCAATGTGGGCCCCCCCTTTTCCTGGATCTTGGCAACCAAAGCCTGCGCGGCGTGCTGCATGCTTGGGAGGCGCCCCTTACGATCAAGCATCTGCACAATGAGCTGGTGCTCGAACAGCAGGACCTCGTGATGAAGCTCAGGGGTCAAGCCGGCAGCGAGATCCCTAACTTCGTGCATGAGCTTCTCCGCAGTGACCACGTCATTGGCCTTCAACATGCGCTTGATCTCGTTGGCCGTGAGCGGTTTCTCATCCACGTACGCGAGGCGAAGCGCAGCATGCCGCGCACGAAGAAGAAGCTCCCCCCCCTTGCCGGGCAAGGACAAACTGTCCCACACCTCTGCGCCTAAGCTTCGTTGCGAAGCACCGGCCCCTTTCACAAATTCCTCTGTGGAGCGCATTTCTTGCCCCTGTGCACCGCCGCCAAACTTCATCATGAATGCCCACATGTGAGGCACTGCTGGTGCGCATGTTGGCTTTGTTCGAAGAATTTTTACCTTGACATCCTGGTATTGGATTTGCTTGCCTGGCTTGCTTTTGGATTCCTGTTGCCAAACGGCCAGTAGGCGCCGGCATAGTTGAAGTTCGGGCTCTTTACGCTGCAATTGCGCGCCTGTGTTGTTGGCTTGTTGCATCATGCTGGCAAGTTGTGGGTACTCTGACATTACTTCTTGGCTAACCACGCACCACCACAAGCCTTGCTCTACGGCATCCGCGAAAGCAGGGTCCTTTGCTTGGAGCTGGTGAATCGAAAGCCTTCCTTGAACTAAAAGGTCGGGGTCCCCCTCGTGCAAACAGTTTGCCGCGAAGAGTCGCAACACCTGATTGGTGTGCGATGCACTCAGCGATGCATACTTGACCGTTCCCTCAACCACAGGTGCCAAGCGAAGGTTCGCACTTACAGTGTCATCCCCCACTAGCTGCCGATTGAAGGCTTCAACTGCGGGGATCTCTGCCGGGGATAGCTCAGCGCAAATTGCCCGCACCTGGTTCCACTCCCACCCGCACTCGCTGATGTCACTGCATAAGCTGTGAACATCGTTGGCTGATAAGCCAAATCCATCCCGATTCGCAGTGTGTACATGCACAAACTGCGGCCTGATTCTCGTTCGCCAGCATAGGTGGTTTTTCCTGGAAGGGTTGCCCACTTTGAAAGCTGTCCACGCAAACCAAAGCTCCATAAACAAGTTGCTTCGAACACAATAACGCTGCTGGATTTGATTTGTCAACTAAAAACGGGCCAACTCACAGGCCAACCCTGCTTGGGCTAAAGATGCTGAAGACCACAGCCTCTATTTACGCGCATTGAACACTCCAGTAAATTGTTTGGAGCACCAATGGAAAAGCAGGCTAACTATATAGCGCAAAGCGTCTCAAGGTCAACCATCAGTGCTGCCATTCCTTGTACCAGCAGGCCTGCCTCCGCCTTTCTGATGTGGCCCGAAATCTTTTCATGAAGGTCACTAGTGATCATGGTGGCTGCTCTTATTGGCACGCCCGCAGATGAGCTTGGTTCCAAAAGCTACGCGCACGTGCATGCTGTGCACAAGCAAGAGGCACATGGAGAGGAGCCCGCATTGCACCACAGTGCTAGAAGAATGAACTGCGTTGCGAAGCAACTGCCTTCATGCACCACTCAGCAACGATTTTCCCTGAACGCGCGCCGCCAAAGGTTCCCCCTCTATATAGTGCAGCTGCACTTGATGGTGTGTTGCACACCGGGGAATCAAGAAAAAGTCATTGCTGGCAGCCAATGCTGTTCGCATCTGTTCGCCATGCATACATGTCGCTCTCTCAGACAAGTGCGTCCGTCTGCAGTGCCATGTAGGTCTTGCGCACGCCGGCTAATCTGGCAGCACTCTCCATGGCGCTGGCAACTGTGACGCTTTTCCATGCGAGCTATGCCCAGCATGACGGCGAGCTTCATGCCCAGCCTTGCATGCCCCTTGCTCTGCATTGTGTTGATTGCAACCCTGCAGCTTCATGTTTGGGTCCCTTAAAAACAGTGGGTTCCCCAAAACAACTCCCCAATAAATGAGTCACACAGTATACGTTCCCCTCATGTTCCCCTATATATACATATATTATACAGCCTCCCTGCCAACCCTTTTCATGTTTAGCCCAAAAATAAAGATAATCCATCAAAAACCGAATTTCGGGCTGAACGGCCCTTCAAGAATCTTGATGAGCCTCTCGCATTTGTAACACGCAGGGCAAACAATGATGTCCCAAAGAAAACTCATTGCAATAAGGCTATATATAGCCTCGCTTCAAATGGTTTCCCCGTGATGTTAACTCATGAGAATTCTTCTGCAGTGACCCCATTAAAGATTTGAGCCGGGGGACGGGGGAACAATGGAAATGGTAGACTTGTGTTTGCCAACTTAAGCTTTGCAAAAACTCGGGCCCTTGCGTTGCAAACTGCTAACCAAGCTTTTTGTAAATTCTCCCGTCTCCATAATGTTTCCCCAGGGCTGTTCCAATGAGAAAAGGATATATACCCTGATGGATAGCTGACGTTACGGTGATCAAGCTGTGTGAGGGTTGATTTGAAGTTTTCAGGGCAACTAATTTTATCTTGAAGCAACCCCGCCGGCCACCCTCCTCTGCCCGCTGGCCAGGCCTGCTATGGCAGTGGCCCCGCAGCGCGGCCTTTCCTCAGTGCCTTTTTGAAGGGCACGACAATCATCATCATCATCATCAATATCATCATCATCATCATCATCATCATCATCATCATCATCATCATCATTATCATCAACTCATCATCATCCTCATCATCAAATCATCATCATCAACAACAACAACAGCAACAGCAACAGCGACGACAACAACAACAACAGCAGCAGCAGCAACAGCAACAGCAACAGCAACAGCAACAGCAACAGCAACAACAACAACACCAAGAACAAGAACAAGAACAAGAACAACAACAACAACAACAACAACAACAACAACAACAACAACAACAACAACAACAACAACAACAACAACAACAACAACAACAACAACAACAACAACAACAACAACAACAACAACAACAACAACAACAACAACAACAACAACAACAACAACAACAACAACAACAACAACAACAAACAACAACAACAACAACAACAACAAGCAACAACAACAACAACAACAACAACAACAACAAACAACAACAACAACAACAACAACAACAACAACAACAACAACAACAACAACAACAACAACAACAACAACACCAGCAGCAGCAGCAGCAGCAGCAGCAGCAAAAGAACAACAACAACACACCCATGGCACACAAACTATACCCGCAGAAACCGCACAACAGATTTCTGCAAACCCGTATGAGAAACGCGCTTTGCTTTTTTAAGGTCTGCCATGATGAATTGCAGAACAACAGCTTTAATTCAACTATGTAGACCGCAATTTACTTGTGTATGTAGGCCGCGGCGTACTTACCAAGTCAGCCGGCATACTTACTCAAGTGGGTTGAATCACTTCTGTAAGTTTGCCAAGAGACTTGCCTTACAAAGAGATGTTCGCCCGTATGTTCGCCAACTTGAAGCTATGTATTTAGGTGACATGGTAAGTACATGGGATAGCCTGCGCCACTTATCATGTTAGCCTTCTAATATGCCGAACATGTCCGGACTTATAACCTAGGATAGCGAAAATATAACTTCAGTTGCGGGACTTAGTAAGTCCTGCTATTTGACCCATCTAGATAGTAGCAAGGCCGACCGCCCAAGTACTGCATCCTATCAACCTGCTTGTCTAGGCTTGTCCTCGGCTTGGTAGTATCGCAGAAACTGGACTCAGATCGCTCAAAGTTCCTGCCATACTCACCCCCATCTCCAAATCGCCTTTCCGTTATTTTTGATCAGGTGTTGACACACATACACCGAAAAAACTGGCCGGGTTGGAGAGTATGCGGGGTCAATTGGCATGGTTGTTGGCAATCGGGTTCTAGTGGCCAAAGAAACCTCCTAAGTAGCATGGATTAACATGGGAAAATCCCGCTTTGGTATCTCAGGCGCTTTAGTCCCAACTATGTCAGCTTTATGCATGGCTGAGGTGAAGAGCCTGTCTTACGAGCCTGCTGAAGAGCACGAATTCGAATCCAGATCTCCGCTGGCGAGTTTTTCTAGGCACTTTTTTGGCTACATGAAACCCTCTGAATGCTTACCTTGCTCTAGGGGTTCATTCCCCGTTCTTTTCAACCATGGTTCCTTTCAAAAACCAGCTATTTCCCCTGGGGTTCTGATGGTTTTCTGGAAAACAAGGATCCCTGGAAAAGAATGGGGAAGTGTGCCCTAGACTTGCTTGTTCAGTCGCGAACAGTTTTTGTGCTGTTTGCTGCCAGGTGTTTTCATGTTTGTCAAGGGCCCAAACATTTCAATCTGGTTCTCGCCACCCTAGCGGTGAACAACCGAGTCGGGTTTTTTCCTTGCGCAACGGATGTGAGAATACCTGCATGTTTTAGTGGCTATTGTCGATTTTGTCGAAGTAACCCTGGGGCTTGATAGGTCCCGTTGGGAGGGGTCAAAAGTGATGGGTCTCCTTAAAACATAGTTCCTCATCTTGCGTTTAGCGCCTTCCATTTGCTTGGTATGTATTTATTTATTGTTTGTAGACAGACCGCTGTTTTTTGTTACTACACAGAACCTATCACTGGACATTTGTTTTTGTTTTTGCTGTTTCTAGACGCACAATGCTCGAACCGGACCGATCCGTTGAAAGGTATGAAGCTCAAAGTTGTTAACATGTTGACCCGGGCAGATGGCAACTCGGGCGGGCAGGTGGGTGGTTCGTCTTTTTGTTGAGTTACCGTTTTGGGACGTTGTGAAGGGAAGAGAAAGGGAAAGCCTCCAGTTTGGGAGGTTTCTAGTTTGAAACAAGACCAGGGGTTGACATCATACCTTTTCGGGGGTGTCCCTTTGAAGTCAGCTACTTGTGAGCCTTTTGCCTCATATCCACAGGTCTGGGGGGAACATCACTCTGTTTGGGTGCATCTGAAGCCTCTCTTGGATATTTGGCTTTCAAAGGGTGTCCCGAAACACAGGGCTCGCATAGCTGAAATGAGCTGTTCGTGTTTTGGTCAGCGGAGAGATTTCTAAGCCCTACTCGAGTTTGTTCAAAGTCTTGTCGAGCAGATGTTCGGCCTGAAAGGCAGTCGAAGGTTCTTCAAAATTGGCTAGCTCTTGATTTCCTGGTCAGGTTTGTCGCGTCAATGCACACGCCTCCAAACGTCTAGGAGATCGTTGGCAGCTCTGAAATTGGTGGGTTTCATTCCAAGTTCTTGCAGCCACTAGGTCTTTCTCATGTGTTTTGTTCCATCAGCTCGACAAGATGTGCAGGAGCAATCTCAGGCGACTGCCTTCATTGAGGCAGTCGCTGTAGGCAAATCCTGAGCACCACATCGACCAACTTGTGTCATTGCTGTCTTTCAACTTGATGAAATCAAGTTGATGACGAAGGCAATTGTACTTAGTGACAACCTACTCACACGGCACAGAGATACAAGCATATACGAAGAAAACACTTATAACTATAGTTCCGAGGAATGTGGCCCGGCGATGTGTGCTCGAGTTGTGCTTGTCTGCAAGGCCAACACCCACTTGAAGGCGAGAGCCTTCAGGTCATTTGAGCAAAGACTTGACGATCGGAGCAAAAGGGCGAGTGAGCGGCGAGCGAGGGCGAGGAAGGGCGTTTTTTCCGGCCGCTTTCCGAAATACGGCCCATGGAAACTGGCTCCCCGGAGCTTGTTTGGTGTCAAAAGGTGCTCCCCCTTACGGAGTTGCATACCTGAAAACAAGAGTTTCCCAACCCCGACCTTCCTTAGGCCTTTATTCACAAGTTAAACTTTTGGCAGTGGTCTCAGAACAGCGCAGATTTGATATGGCATGCACATGGGCCTCCTTTCGTAGAGAACATTGAAGACACGCAACTTGCCATCAATTGGTTCCCCCAAGCACATCGACTTGAGAATGGATGGAAATCGATACACTTTGGAAGGTAGTGGAACGTACCTGTCATGTTGCTTCCCTAAATCGCCAACCAGGTATTTGGAGATGTCCGGGGGTAGTTCTGACGGCCTTTACATGTACGACTCTCCCTTAAATGGGGTATCCCCCACACCAACAGAGCATCTGTGCCATCGTCAAAAGTCCCCTTTCCTGGGGGTTATCAAGTGGCCTTTTTGTATTTTGAATGGACCCCATAGAATTGCGAGCATTCTTATGGAGGGAGCCAAGATGGTCATCAGTTTGTGATCGCACACTTGCGTTCCCCTTTGAAGTACCCACGACCGATTTCGGCCAGATGGCCAGGCAACCGCCGACAACATGCTCAGCGTCAAGCAGAGCGGTTTAGGCGCCCGGACCCGTTGACTGCTGCCAGTCAGCAAAGGAGTTTACTGAGTGATGGGTTTTTGGCTATGGGGTAGATGTTGGTGTTTCCTAAACCGGGCAACCCCAGCGGGTTCCTTTGGCCGTCCAAAGTTCCTGCCCACGTTCGCACCTTTCAACCCTACCTGGTTTTCAACTGCACACTGTAGCTGTTCCAGGGCTGAAGGACGCATACCCCGTAGTCGTTGTCCGGTCGGCATGGGACCTTCATACAAGGGAAAGGGACCCCCATTGAATCATTGCCCCAAGATTTGATTTTTTTGGGGCCAGAGATAGGCCAATTTCAAATTAGGCCCAAAGAAGTGACCTGAGGGTCAAGACGTTTTTTGTTGAGGGATTGGTCAGGAATCTGCATTGGAGGGCCCGGAGGTCTACATTGGAGGGTCATGACCGCCTCATGACCCTTGCGGTACACCTGCCTACATGGGTTGAACACTGTTTTTTTCTGTGGTTTTAAAGCCACGCTGAACGGAACACCACTTGCTTGATTTACGCAAATGGAGCCAAAACAGGGATGGGTAATTGTTTAGTGGTTCCAGACCCTCCTATCTGGCACCCAGCACCCTTAAAGAAGTGGATGAGTGAGTTCCATCTGATCTTGCCGGATCCGGCGAGGCCGCAGTGCATCGGGTCTGAGTTCGGGGCTCGGAAGTGGCGGGGTGGGGGGCGCAAAGTTAGTACTCATCAAAGGAAGTTTAGTTAGAAAATTTCTGTAAATACGAAAAGTAGAGTTAGACATGCGCAAGTAGAGTTAGACATGCGCAACACGCGAAGGGTACCCCTGTTCAGCGGCGGGATCGCCACGGGGTCCGAATGTTGCCCACTGGCACGGCCGCGCAGACTGTTTCGTAAACCTGAGGTGCAGATTTCGTGGCAGGCGCAGCATTTTGTGCCGTGCAAGGTGAAGTGCAGAGTTCATGGCAGGCGCAGCATTTTCGCAAGGTCGAGTACACATGTCATGGCAGGCGCAGCACTTTCGCAAGGTCAGGTGCAGATAGATAAATAGATAGATAGATAGATAGATCTAGTGGAAAGAGAAAGAGAAAGACAGAGAGATATAGAAAGAAAGAAAGAAAGAAAGAAAGAAAGAAAGAAAGTAAGTCAAGAAAGGCAGCAATGAAGAAACAAAGCAGAAATACAAAAATCAAAGAAAGAAATACAAAAGAACGAAAGAAATAAATACAGAAATAAAAGAAAGAAAGACATAAATAATGAATGAAAAAGAAAGAAAGAAAGAAAGAAATAAAGAAAGAAATGAGAAATAAAGAAAGAGAGAGAGAAAGAAAGAGAAAGAGAAAGAGAAAGATAAAGAGAAAGAGAAAGAGAAAGAGAGAGAGAGAGAGATAAAGATAAAGAGAAAGAAAAAAGGAAAGAAAGAACGAAATAATGAGATACAGAAAGACAGAAAAAGGAAAGAAAGAAAAGAAACAACCCAAGCTCTTCCTATAGGCACTCTTCTCGCTTTAGAACGGCTTCGCCGGCTCTACTGGTATTTGGAGTAGGGCAATTGGGGTGGACCGGAGGTTGGTTTTCGATTGGTGCAGCGTGAGCTGTCCCTGAGCTGCACGAGACCCGCAGAAGAAACAGTCCCTTAAGCAACGGAGATCCCTTTCCAATCATATCCTTTGCGTCATGTTTGCCGCAGTCAAATCGGACTCGACCCTTGCAGTATGAGAAGGTGCGCCTGGACCTTGTAAGTGCAAAGAAGGCGGTGAGATTTCGGCATCGCGGGGACAGTTTGTTTGCTTGGAACCAACACCACAGGAGCCCCAGTTTTGACTGCCGTTTGCGCGCGCGCGGGTGTGTGTGTGTGTGTTTGCGTGCCCCCTTTTCTAAAGGGTGCTTCGCCTTTTTGCTTTTAATTGCTTTCGGGAGTCGGGTGCCACCATGGTGAACAACGGCGTGAAGTACTGACAGGTGAACAACGGCGTGAAGTACTGACAGCTGGGTGTTGGCACTCCGTGGAAGATGCCCACTGTCGGGAAAGACGACCTGAGTGAGCCATGCCGAAACTCGAACCTGATTCCATGCATGTGTCTTCCCTTTGCACAAGTGGCGCATATAGCCTCCGCGCGTCGAACCTCAGGTTCCTCATGACTCCAGACCCCTCAGGAACCTACGAGATCTGGGCAGGGAAGCGGCGAGGCGCAGCAAGGCAACCCCTTCAAGATGCTCGAACTGTCCCGTTCAATAATTTTGCCCTCCAAGAAGACGGCCCGCGTTGCCCTAAAAGAATGGCGTAGAACAGACTCGGAAACCGCCTGTCAGGTTGACCTTCTTTGAGCCCCTTCTTCCCACAGCCTCCTTTCAAACAACACTTCCCGCTATGCCGTTGTCGCCCTTCAAGAGAACACACTGCCCAGCTAGCCCAACATGTTTCCAAACAGTCTCGGAAGCCGCCCCTTCAACGCTCCCCCTTTTTTCAAGGCCTTCCTTTCAAACAGCCCCTCCGGACGTCGTCGTCGCCCTTCAAGAAAACGCGCCGTCCAGCTAGCTTAAGATGTTTCAAAACAGCCTCGGAAACCGCCCCTTCAACGCGCTTCTTTCTCAAGGCTTTCCCTCAGCCCTTCCGGATGTTGTTGTCGCCCTTCAAGAAAACGCGCCGCCCAGCTAGCTTAAAATGTTTCGAACCGGCCTCGGAAACCGCCCCTTCGACATCCCTCTTTCTCAA